GATAGGACACCAAACCATAGGCAACAAAACTAAAAGCAGACAAACAGGATGACATCGAACTTGTGCAACAAAAGACACAATCAACAAAGTGGAAAGGCAACTATGGAATGGGAGAAAATATTTGCAAATCATATCTTTGATAAGTGCTTAATAGCCAGAATATATAAAGAACGCCTACTGTTCAACAACAACAAAAATATCAAATAACCTGATTTAAACATGAGCAAAGGACTTGAATAAACATTTCTCCAGAGATGATAATGCAAATGGCCACCAAGGATATGAAAAGATGCTTAACTAACCCTAAACCATGCTCACTAATCATCAGAAAAATGTAAATCAAAACCACAGTGAGATATCACCTACCTCACGCCCAGCGGGATGGCTGTTATCAAAACAGTAGAAACAACAAGTGTTAGTGAGGAGGAAGAGAAATTAAAATCCTTCACACTCTTGGTGAGATTTTAAAATGATGCAATAACTATGAAAAAAGGGTATGAAGGTTCCTCAAAAAATTAAAAATAGAACTGCCACATGACCCAGACATCCCACTTCTGGGTGGACGTCCGAAAGAACCGAAGCCAGGTCTCTGAGAGGTACCTGCACAGTGTGTCCACGGCGGCATCGTCACAGCAGCCGGGAGGCAGAAGCAACCCGGACGTCCATCGGCAGGTGAAGGGACACACAAAGGAGGTGCACGCACACGACGGAATATTACTCAGCTTTACACAGTGAGAAATTCCGCCACATCTTACAGCGCGGATGAATCTTGAAGACGTGGTGCTAAGTGAAATCAGCCAGTCACAAAGAACAAATACCGCGTGATTCTAATTATATGAGATATCTCAAATTCATAGAAACAGAGCAGATGATGGCTTCCAGGTGCTGGGGAGGGCATGCAAGGAAACGGTTGTTTAGTGAGTATTGAGTTTCAGTGTTGCAAGATGAGAAGGTTCTGGAGACCGTTTCACTGTTATGATAATTTTGTATGAATATACCTAACGCTACTGAATTGTATACTTAAAAATGGTTAAATGGTAAACTTTGCTTTTTACCACAATAAAATAATTTAATAAATATTTGTACATCATAAACCAAAAGTTAAGGGCAAAAGACAATAATAATGTTTCATTTGTGTGATGAAAAACAGGCATGAAAAAAAATACAAAACAATAACATACAAAATGGGGATAACCTCATATAAATGTTAATATTAGTATCCCTTTCTGATGAAGCAGACAAAAAATAATATAGAGAATATGTTAATAGCATGATTAAAAAATCTAGTGCACATATAGAGAGATCTTTGCACTCAGCCATTGCACGAAACACATTTTTAAAGCAAAGACGACTTCTATGAAGTTGGTGACTCCCAAGGTCACACCAGCCCCAGGCTGTCCCAGAGACTGACTCCACACAGACCGACACACGGGGAAGAAGAATGAGAAGAGGACGATTGAAAAAATAACCTATGTTTGCAAAAAAGAAAAACACGTTTCTGAAAAAATATGTGGGTTAAAAAGAAATAACAAAAGACAGAAAAAAATAATTAGAATTGAAAAATAACAAAAATACTATATGTCAAGCTGGTGAAATTCAGGTAGAGTGGTTCTTAGAGGAAGATTATAGCCTAAATGCTTGTATCGGGAAAATAAAAAAGATGCTTGAAACTAGTGAGTTAAATTTACAACTTAAGAAGTAAAAAAAAAAAAAAAAAAACAACAACAAAAATCCAGCAGAATGAACCCAAACATTAGGAGGAAGACAATATAACAAAGATACAAAGAATGAAAACAATTTAGTATTATTCACTGGCCACTTAAAACAATCTAATTGACTTACTAATCATCATAAATCATAAATATAAAAAATAATAGAAAAGATGATATATTTGTTGCTTTCTTATTGGCAACATTTTGGAAAATGTAGTTTTATTGGTAATACTATCTTGCTGATATGAACTGATTTAATTTGACGAATCTTGTCCCCAAATTTTTCATGTTCCGTAAGGTTTTCTTTTTTTAATATATATTCTTACTACAGACATCTTGCATATAAGGTTTTCTTTTTAAAAAAATCATGTTGAGCTTTAAACTTTTTCTCACAAGTTATCGCCTTTTAAACTTTTCTCTTCAGTATCTTTTTAAGAATGATTTTCATAATACATTTTCTGAGCCTTATTAAGAGAACCTAAATAGAAATTATCAACACCTATAACCACACTACAACACAGACTTATAACAATTCGCAATTAAAAATAACTGCATAAAGACCTGTGCATGCATCAGTGCGTTCCAAATCAGTTGCAATGTGTTGCATGTAAAAATTGTCTTTGTTACACGGCGTTTCATTCAAAGAGTTTTCTTTGTGTGTCTTGAGACAACCTAGGTGGCTCCGCACCGTGACATTGCTTTTTTTTTTTTTTTTTTTGAGACAGAGTCTCACTGTGTTGCTCGGCCTAGAGTGCCGCGGCATCATCCTAGCTCACAGCAACCTCAAACTCCTGGGCTCAGGCGATCCTCCTGCCTCAGCCTCCCGAGTAGCTGGGACTACAGGCATGTGCCACCATGCCCGGCTAATTTTTCTATATATTTTTAGTTGTCCAGTTAATTTATTTCTAATTTTAGTAGA